CACATGGAACGTATCTTCACCTGAGCACAGGATTTCCACTCCACATCAATAATTAAGGACAATATATCACACTCATATTGGACTTTTATTCATCGTATATGGTCATATCAAATAATCACACATTATATACGAACTTTGCACTTTATTAATTATTTGAATTATTTGCACTATTTTTTAGTAATAATATAATTGGATGTTTTTTCAGCGCTGCACTTTTTTGATTACATATTCTATTGAAGGTTTCAGGTTTCCTTTTGGTGCATTTTGCTGCTGTATAGATTTAAGCGCTCGCTGATCCCTCTAACGCATGTTATCTCAGCTTGGAAATGTTTTTCAAGGGTCCCTTCATTCTGAAAAGGCTGGAAAAAAAAGCTACTTTAAGAGCTTCAATTAAAGGCACAAAACGTGGGGGTTGATTTACTAAAGGAGAAAAAGACTGTGCACTTTGCAAAGTGCAGTTGCTCCAGAGCTTAGTAATACTGCCATTCGTCAAGAATACCCCAAGGAAAATAAAAAATAGCATTTTTGCTTACTCATGAATAGAATATGGAAGCCAGCAGAGCTTCTGCTCATTTACTAAGCTCTGGAGCAACTGCACTTGCAAAGTGCACAGTCTAATTGCCTTTAGAAAATCAACCCCTTGCTCTTCAGACTAGCACTTCTAAGATAAAACAAGAGGGAGCTGGGTTGAGATTACAATTGTATTCCAAACTCATTATAACCCCTGAACCTTGACTACCACAACCAATTGTCTGCTGTAACCTCTGACATTAGAAGAACATACAAAATTCATGCCTACAGTGTCCTTGTTGGGTATTGATCCCAAGACTTTAGAACTGCAACACGATACTTTATCATTTACTAAGCTACCTTTACTAGCTGTGAATCTTCTGCAATGTATTGATCTATAGACTAGGAGTGTATTCTACTCACAGCACCACATTTCAGAGCACTGCTTTTATATCAGTCGATTATGATTTTACATGCATGCTTCAGCCACCAAAAACCCCAAACTTTATAAAATGATGAAATTAAGGGCACTTTACCTAGACTGCCCATGACTCTGTGTAGACCTTTCTGGATGTCGCTGATTGAACAGGTTTCTGAAAATAGATTCTTATTGACTTCAGTTATCAGAAAGCTGGCACTGAAGATCCTCTTAGAAGCACTTGATTAGGTCAAAATCAAGAGAAATCTATTTCCCAATTGCAATGGAACACGAAGTACGATTATAGGTTATATTTTATTCCCGACTCAATTTCCTAGTACAGAAGGGAAGCTGGCAATGTATTTTTAAAATTATGAAATTTAATTTATTATGACAAAGGGAAACGTGCTAAATGTAGTAACGTATAGCAACCAGTTAACCATTAAGGTTCCAAAAAATAGTTCAAAAGTTAAATTAGATCATATCCCCCCTTATGTATTATACATGGAGATCATATCCCCCCTTATGTATTATACATGGCGATCATATCCCCCCTTATGTATTATACATGGAGATCATATCCCCCCTTATGTATTATACATGGTGATCATACCCCCCCTTATGTATTATACATGGAGATCATATCCCCCCTTATGTATTATACATTGAGATCATATCCCCCTTATGTATTATACATGGAAATCATATTCCCCCTTATGTATTATACATTGAGATCATATCCCCCTTATGTATTATACATGGAAATCATATCCCCCCCCTTATGTATTATACATTGAGATCATGTCCCCCTTATGTATTATACAAGTAGATCATATCCCCCCTTATGTATTATACATGGAGATCATATCCCCCCTTATGTATTATACATGGAAATCATATCCCCCCTTATGTATTATACATTGAGATCATGTCCCCCCTTATGTATTATACAAGTAGATCATATCCCCCCTTATGTATTATACATGGAGATCATATCCCCCCTTATGTATTATACATGGAGATCATATCCCCCTTATGTATTATACATGGAGATCATATCCCCCCCTTATGTATTATACATGGAGATCATATCCCCCCTTATGTATCATACATGGAGATCATATCCCTCCTTATGTATTATACATGGAAATCATATCCCCCTTATGTATTATACATTGAGATCATGTCCCCCTTATGTATTATACAAGTAGATCATATCCCCCCTTATGCATTATACATGGAGATCATATCCCCCCTTATGTATTATACATGGAGATCATATCCCCCCTTATGTATTATACATGGAGATCATATCCCCCCCTTATGTATTATACATTGAGATCATGTCCCCCTTATGTATTATACAAGTAGATCATATCCCACCTTATGTATTATACATGGAGAGCATATCCCCCCCTATGTATTATACATGGAGATCATTTCCCCCCTTATGTATTATACATGGAGATCATATCCCCCCTTATGTATTATACATGGAGATCATATCCCCCCTTATGTATTATACATTGAGATCATATCCCCCCTTATGTATTATACATGGAGATCATATCCCCCCCCTTTTTGTATTATACATGGAGATCATATCCCCTTTATGTATTATACATGGTGATCATATCCCCCCTATGTATTATACATGGAGATCATATCCCCCCTTATGTATTATACATGGAGATCATATCCCCCCTTATGTATTATACATGGAGATCATATCCCCCCTTCATCTCCTCTTCCCAAGAGAGAATACATTCAGTTCCTCTAATCTTTCCTCATAGCTGATCTCCTCCATGCCTCTTATCAGTTTGGTTGCCCTTCTCTGTACTTTCTCCAGTTCCCCAATGTTCTTTTTGTGAATTGGTGCCCAAAACTGAACTGCATATTCCAGATGAGGTATTACTAATGATTTGTACCGGGGAAATGATATCTCTCTCTCTGGACTCTTTTAATACAAGAGAGGATTTTGCTCGCTTTAGAACCCGCAGCTTGGCATTGCTGCCATTATTAAGCTTGTGATCTACCAGAACCCCCAGATCCTTCTCCACCATTGATTCCCCCAGTTGTACCCCCCCTAGTATGTATGATGCATGCATATTCTTAGCCCCCAAGTGCAGAACCTTGTATTTATCAACATTAAACCTCATTTGCCACATAGTTGCCCAATTACACAGAGCATTGAGTTCGGCTTGAAAGTTGGAGACATCCTGTAAGGACGTTATTCCACTGAAAGTTGTAAAAGATAAGAAAAACAGAGTCTGGAGAAATGTGTCCCATTTTTGTAAGTCAAGTCTTTGACTTTTCTACAACCATACCTGCAAAAAAAAAAAATAAACAGCTTGAGATTTCTTCCATGAGCTCATGATGTAAGCCAGTCTACTGCTTCTCCCCCTCGGACTATCATTCCAAGTGAAGATGTGATGGTGACAATGGTGATAGAGTGCCAATGCCCAGAGCTACAAGAAACCTGGCAACATGAAAGCAGCCTCAGGCTTATATAGAGCTAAACTCTCCAAGGTTTATGTGACGTTAGGATTATATGATATGGGGTTGTGGAAGTGTTACCTTTGTCTTCCATGTCTATCCACTGCCTAGATGTTATATGTTTTCCTTGTTCTTCCAGAGACACATCAACTTTGCAGAAAAAAAATGCACAACCATTGGTCCTTCCCCTCATGAAAGGGTGCTAGGCGTAATCCTAGACTCTGACCTCTCCTTTGGGCCCCACATCCACTCACTGGCTAAATCCTGCCGCCTCAACCTCTGGAACATTTCCAAAATCTGCCCCTTCCTGACCAACGACACCACAAAACAACTTATCCACGCCTTGGTTATATCCCGCCTCGATTACTGCAACTCCCTCCTCACTGGTCTACCATTACACAGGTTATCCCCCCTTCAGTCTATTATGAATGCTGCTGCTAGACTCATACACCTTACCAACCGATCAGCGACTGCTGCCCCTCTCTGCCAATCCCTCCACTGGCTTCCACTAACCCAACGTATAAAATTCAAAATACTAACCACAGCTTACAAAGCCATGCACAACACTGCCCCTAGCTACATCACCAACCTCATCCGCAGATACCGCCCAAATCGCCCGCTCCGCTCCTCCCATGATATCCTCCTCTCTAGCTCCCTCATCACCTCCTCCCACGCTCGCCTCCAGGATTTCTCCAGAGCCTCTCCCATCCTCTGGAACTCCTTACCACAGCATGTCCGGTCAGATCCCACCCTGTCTGCCTTTAGGCAATCTTTGAAAACTCACTTCTTCAGGGAGCCTACTCCACCTCCACCTAAGAAGTGTACTTGAATCACCTCCACCAGATCATCCCCCGCAGCTATCACCTTTTGTATCACCTCCCCCTTCCTTTAGATTGTAAGCTCCACGAGCCGGCACTCCTATTCCTTCTGTACTGAAATGTATTGTAGTTGTATTGTCTCCCGATATATTGTAAAGCGCTGCGCAAACTGTTGGCGCTCTATAAATCCTGTATAATAATAATAATATATAAATCCGGTATAATAATATATAAATCCTGTATAATAATAATAATAATATATAAATCCTGTATAATAATAATAATATATAAATCCTGTATAATAATAATATATAAATCCTGTATAATAATAATAATATATAAATCCTGTATAATAATAATAATATATAAATCCGGTATAATAATATATAAATCCTGTATAATAATAATAATAATATATAAATCCTGTATAATAATAATAATATATAAATCCTGTATAATAATAATATATAAATCCTGTATAATAATAATAATATATAACTCCTGTATAATAATAATAATAATATATAAATCCTGTATAATAATAATAATATATAAAATCCTGTATAATAATAATAATATATAAATCCGGTATAATAATATATAAATCCTGTATAATAATAATATATAAATCCTGTATATAATAATAATATATAAATCCTGTATAATAATAATAATATATAAATCCTGTATAATAATAATATATAAATCCTGTATAACAATAATAATAGTTTAACAAAAGTGTATCTAAGGTCTCATGTACACTAGACATTTGGCCATCTCTCCTAGATGCCTTTCCTCTTGGCAGTAACATTTTGGCAGAAGACACAGCCAACCCTTGTAAACGTGTGTAACACGTTTAGGTGCGTCAACAGCTTGAGCGTTAAAGTGGTTCTAAAGGCAGAAGGTGCTTTACCTCTATGCATTAAAGTGGTTGTAAACCTCAGACATGAAATATGAGTAAAGCATAACATTACATTTACATTACATCACATTGAGTTTATATAGCGCCAAAGGGTTTGCTCAGCGCTGTACAATAGAGGGGGACAATACATGAAACATTACAGCAGCTACGAACAGCACACGAGGGGTAAGAGGGCCCTACTCTTTCGAGCATACAATCTGGGAGGGAGGGGGTAGTGGTACAGGAGGAAGTGGCTGTGGGGGATGGAGTGGTAGGAGGAATGAAGGAGAGCAGCAGTTAGGTGAGGGTGGGGTAGGCTTCCCTGAAGAGGTGGGTTTTCAGGGAGCGCCTGAAGGTGAGGAGGGAAGGTGACAGTCTGATGGATTGGGGTAGTGAGTTCCAGAGGATGGGGGAGGACCTGGAGAAGTCTTGCAGACGTGCGTGTGAGGAGGAGACCAGGGAGCAAGATAGAAGGAGGTCCTGTGAAGAGCGAAGGGTACGGGTAGGGTGGTACTTGGGAATCAGGTCGGTGAGGTAGTTAGGGGCAGTGTTGTGAATGGCTTTGTAGGTCAGAGTGAGTAGTTTGAATTTGATGCGTTGGGCGATAGGGAGCCAGTGGAGGGAGAGGCAGAGGGGGGTGGCAGAGGTGGAGCGGCTGGTGAGGTGGATGAGTCTGGCCACTGAGTTCAGGATGGTCTGAAGCGGGGAGAGTTTGCACTGGGGTTGGCCGGTGAGGAGGGAGTTGCAGTAGTCAAGGCGTGAGATAATCAGGGAGTGCACAAGTAGTTTAGCGGTGTCTGGGGTAAGGAAGGTGCGTATTTTGGCGATATTGCGAGGGTGGAGCCTGCATGTGTTTGTCAGTGATTTGACATGAGGTTGGAAGGGAGAGGTTAGAGTCCAGAATGACCCCAAGGACTTTGGCTTGCGGGGCGGGATTGATGGTGGTGATGTTAGTAGTGATGGATAGGATGGGGGGGGGGGCGCGGGCAGGAGGGAAGACGAGAAGCTCGGTTTTGGAGAGGTTGAGTTTGAGGAAATGGAGCGACATCCAGTCAGAGATGTCGTTTAGGAGGTGAGTGATGTGTACTTGTCTCAATTAAGAGCACTGAGTGTCATTTCTGTCTTCTGCTTTGTTCCTCTAGTATCAGCATGAATCACTCCTGACAAGTTTTCCTGACTCCAAGAGAAAAATAGTGACAGGGGAGGGACCTCCAGAAGATTGACAGCCTCAGCTCTGTTCCTGTGTGCTCTGTGGAGGGGGGTGTGTCTTTTCCCTCCAATCAGTACTCAGAGCTCTCCTCACTGAGCTCTGCAGAGTGTAACTTAAGCTCTCTGCCCCTTTTTTTTTGACAGCTTAGACAAGTTTTATTAATTCTGGACTTTGAGCGGATGTAGAAAAGAGAAGACTGCAGATAAACAGGTACAACTTACGTAGGATTTGTTTCATCTCTGTTCATTGCTTTAAAAAAGTCCTGGATTCTTTCTTGGATACACAGAATATAACTGGATACTAACATTTATAGGTAAAGTTGATCCAGGGAATATCCAATTGCCTCTCGGGGGATCAGGAAGAATTTTTTTCCCCTGCAGGAGCAAATTGGATCGTGCTTTGCTGGGGTTTATTGCCTTCTTCTGGATCAACTGTGGGTGTAGGATTATAACTTTTTTTTTTTTAATGGTTGAACTGGATGGACTTTTGTCTTTTTTTCAGCCATACTAACTATGTAATTATGTATCACCTGAGGCCAGTCACTTCACTGGGTATATGGAAGGGTTTACAACCACTTTAACCACTTGCCGTCCGCCTGCTGTTTATAAACGGCAGGGCGGTGGCAGTACAGGGGCGGGTTGCCGTTCATAAACGGCACCCACCTTTTCTAGCTGTGCACGCTCCCTGGGAGCGCGCAGCACCGCGATCCGGTGCCCGCTGTGTCCTCCGGACACAGTGAAACACCGATCGTCGGATGGGACCTCTGTACGAGGTCCCGATCATGTGATCACTGATTGGCCAATCAGTGAGCACATGCAAAGTAGTAAGCAAGATGTCACTTGTGACATCATTGCTTACTACGTGTGAAATCTGTGAATGGTCACAGAGGTCACATGGTACAGGGCTATTCACAACAGCCTTGTACCATGGGACAAGCTGTGACCAATCACAGCTCACTCAGTACTTCTCAATGACTGCAAGAATGCAGACAGAGAAAGAGAAATGATTGCTTTTACATCCTATATGGGTGTAAAAGCAATCAGTGTAAAAGAAAAAAAAAAATCTTCATCACCCCCCACAAGTAGTACAGTGTCACCATGGTGACACTGTACTGCTAGGGTGACAGTATGTAAAAAAAAAAAAAAAAAAATAATAATAATATAAAAAAATAAAATAAAAATGTCAAAACAACATGTTTAAACATGTTTAAAAAATTATTATTTTTGGTTATAAACTAATTTGGATTTTTTTTTTTTTACTAAAAAGATAACGGAATACATTTTGGCCAAGATTTATGATGAAATATTATTTTATTTGCAAAATTTTATAAAAAAAAAACCACTTTTTTTCAAAAATTTTGGACGTTTTCATTTACATAGCAAAAAAAATAAAAATCCCAGCGGTGAATAAATACCACCAAAATAAAGCTTTATCTGTCTCAAAAAAATGGTAAAAAATTCATACGGGTACAGTGTTGCATGACCGCGCAATTGTCATTCAAAGTGTGATAGCGCTGAAAGCTGAAAATTGCCCTGGTCAGGAAGGGGGTGAAAGTGTCCGGACTGGAAGTGGTTAAGGGAAAAAACCTTTTGGGTGCAGCTCCCCTCCCCCAGCCCCCTCCAGGGCTGTAGATAATTTTTTGTTGGGGGGGGGGGGGGGGGGGGGGTTCAGTTGCAGGTAAAATTTATTTTAATAAAATAAAATATGACCAAGTCATTCTCCATTCATGTCACAGCACCGCAACACGGTAGTTTGCGCTGCTGTGTGGTGACATGAGACACCTTCATGTGCACTGCGATAAATTGCAGCACAGCTCACTGCGCCGTACCTCCAGCCTGTGTTGCAGTGTGAACAGGACACACAGGACAATTGTTTTCTGTGTGTCCTAGCAGTGATCTGTGCTCATTCAATGCAGTAAAAATGCAAGTCACTGCCGCAGCCGAAGACAGTGGTTCTCAACCTGTGGGTCGCGACCCCTTTGGGGGTCGAACGACCCTTTCACAGGGGTCACCTAAGACCATCGGAAAACACATATTTCCGATGTGTAAAGAGCAGCTACTGTGTTGAAAGCAGCTACTGTGTTGAAAGCAGCTACTGTGTTGAAAGAAGCAGTATTGGAGGTGAAACGACACTTCATGAATTATAATTACTGGGTAAATAATTTTATGGTTGGGGGTCACCACAACATGAGGAACTGTATTAAAGGGTCACGGCATTAGGAAGGTTGAGAACCACTGGGCTAAGACATGATAATAGCCAAGCCGTCCTTACTGTGCAACCATTTCTAAGCATTACAAAGGCCACCACATTGGGGTAGGCTATTTATGACCCATTCAGACTAAAGCCTCCTTCATGCAGCTGTTTACACAGAGCCACTGAATTTGAATGGCTAGAACCAGTGGCTGGAAGGACCGGGCATGCGGACAGCAGTAGTTGCTCAGCCCATTTAACAAATGACAGGCTGACAGCGGTTGCCACTGTTCTCATGTAGTCACACAAAGCGGATACCTGAAGTTAGGGACAGATCTCCAAGCCTGGACACAGCTGATAAAAAGCTGCATTTGTTGTGGCTATGTGCATGAGTCCTGAGAGAAGTGGGACTGTGCAGAGTCCATACATATAGAACAAGGACAGATACCGAGAATGACACCCGGCATCCAGGACAGGAGAAGTGGGACTGTGCAGAGTCTATACATATAGAACAAGAAGAGATACTGAGAATTATACCCGGCATCCAGTACAGGAGAAGTGGGACTGTGCAGAGTCCATACATATAGAATAAGAAGAGATACCGAGAATGACACCTGGCATCCAGGACAGGAGAAGTGGGACTGTGCAGAGTCCATACATACAGAATAAGGACAGATACTGAGAATGTCACCCGGCATCCAGGACAGGAGAAGTGGGACTGTGAGGAGTCCATACATACAGAACAAGGACAGATACTGAGAATGACACCCGGCATACAGGACAGGAGAAGTGGGACTGTGCAGAGTCCATACATACAGAACAAGGACAGATACTGAGAATGACACCCGGCATACAGGACAGGAGAAGTGGGACTGTGCAGAGTCCATACATACAGAACAAGGACAGATACCAAGAATGACACCTGGCATCCAGGACAAGAGAAGTGGGACTGTGCAGAGTCCATACATACAGAACAAGGAGAGATACTGAGAATGACACCCGGCATCCAGTACAGGAGAAGTGGGACTGTGCAGAGTCCATACATACAGAACAAGGACAGATACCAAGAGTTCCCCCTGGCATCCAGGACAGGAGAAGTGGGACTGTGCAGAGTCCATACATATAGAACAAGAAGAGATACCAAGAATGGCCCCCGGCATCCAGTACAGGAGAAGTGGGACTGTGCAGAGTCCATACATATAGAATAAGAAGAGATACCGAGAATGACACCCGGCATCCAGGACAGGAGAAGTGGGACCGTGCAGAGTCCATACATATAGAATAAGAAGAGATACCGAGAATGACACCTAGCATCCAGGACAGGAGAAGTGGGACTGAGGTTGCAAACACACTATATCCCCAGTGACACCAATACAGTGATCACTGCTGAAAAAAAAAAGCACTGACACTGTACTAATGGCACTGGGCAGGAAGGAGTTAATATGAAGGGTGATCAAAGGGTTAACTGTGTGTTGGAAGTGTTTTACTAGGGGGTGGTGTCTGTGTGCTTCTCTGTAAGCACACTGCACACACTTAGTAAAACAAACAGTCTTCCTCCCCGTCGGACATGTTCGGTAATCACAGAGCGCCAGCGGATAATGACAGCCGCGAATGGCGGTGCGCCCCCTATCCAGAAATACAAAATCACGTATATATGCGTGATTTTGCGCACCCCTGCCATCCTGTAGCAGTATATTTGCTATAGGGCGGTGGGGAAGCTGTTAAGCAGCATTTAGTGGCTGGAAAGTTTAGAGACAGGAAAAAAATCCACTGCCAGTGTATCCAGGAGCAGCAAGCAGTGTTTTGGCAGAAAAAATGATTGACGCTTGTAAACGCATGTAAGGAAGCCTAAATGCGTGTTAATGCTAGGCGTGTTTAGTGTTTGAAAGTTCATTCATTTCGATGGCCAGAATAAATTATTATTCTGGCAAATTAAATGAATTGACGCCTGTAAATGCGCCTAAACACATGTAAAAGTGTTACACACTTCTACAAGCATCTGGCGTCTATTCTGCCAAAACTCTGCTGCAAGGAGGAGCCTTAACCACTTGACCTCCAGAGGATTTACCCCCCTTAATGACCACGCCTCTTTTTGCTACTCGGCGCTGCACTAATTCAACTGATAATTGCGCGGTCATGCAATGCTGCACCCAAACAAAATTTACGTCCTTTTTTTCACACAAATAGAGCTTTCTTTCTGTGGTATTTGATCACCTGTGCGCTTTTTATTTTTCACGCTATAAACCCAAAAAAAGCCAAAAATTTTGAAGAAAAACAATATTTTTTATTTTCAGCTATAAAAAATATATAGTAAACTCAAAGTTGGTTATAAATTTAGGCCAAAATGTATTCTGCTCCATGTTTTTGGTAAAAAAAAAATCCCAATAAGTGTATATTGATTGCTTTGTGTGGAGGTTATAGCGTCTACAAACTATGGTATAGATACTGCAATTTACAACATTTTTCTGCTATACAGCGCTGCGCTAGTTTAACGGACAATTGCGCGGTCATGCAATATGGTACATAAATGAAATTTACATCCTTTTTTTCCCCACAAATTGAGCTTTCTTTCGGTGGTATTTTATCGCCTGTGCGGTTTTTATTTTTGCGCTAAAAAAAAAAAGGCTAACAATTTTGAGGAAAAAAAAAACAACACTTTTTGCTATAAAACATGTCCAGTAAAAAAAAAAAATGCAAAAATTAAATTTAGTCATAAATTTCTGCCAAAATGCATTCTGTGACATGTCTTTGCTAAAAAAAAAAACCCCAATACGTGTAAATTAATTGGTTTACGTGAAAGTTATAGCGTTTACAAATGGCGGGAAAGATACTGGGATTTTTTAGGTTTTTTTTATACTAATAATGGCGGCGATCAGCGAATTATGGCGGCGATCAGTGACTTATGGCAGCGACCAGCGACTTATGGCGGGACTGCGGCGGATATTCTGACATTGGGGGGTACTGACTTGGGGTCACTGACATCCCCAAAAACACTAATACAGTGATCAGTGCAAAAAAAAAAACCCACTGACACTGTACTAATGGCAATGGGGAGGAAGGGGTAACTTTATTTTGCAGGGAAGGGTTATAGGAGTGAGGGGAGTGTTTTACTAGGGGGCGGGGTGTGTACTGGGCGGACAAGGCTGATCGAGAAAGAGAAACTGTTCTTTCTCGATCAGCTCATCCACGAGCTGACAGGGAAGTGACAGACAGCACAGCTACTGCAGCTGTGCTGTCTGTCACTGTTTGCCGCCGATCGCCGGGAGAGACAGCCGGTAAAGACCGGCTGTGACCTGGCGACTCACATCTACGGCGGTGATCGGCGGGACAGATAGGGCGGCGACGCGCGCCTCGCGTGCGTCCCCTATTTGTTTACAAAACACACGTTTTAAAACGTGGTTTTGCCTGCCAGTGCCGTCGTATATCTACAGTGGCTGGGCGGCAAGTGGTTAAGCTACTGTCAGCCTTCCTCTCTAACTCAGCCAAGACATACAGTCAAAGCAAGAAATGTACATATTTTAAATACAGAAAGTGACATATAATTTTTGAGTCCAAGAACAGTTTCCAATAAAAAAGTGACTGCTCTGGGCTTCAACAAAATGGCGACCTCCCGCAAAAAGAAAAAAGGAGCAGTGCTGGAGTCAATTTCC